GTAGGGCAGATGCTGGTTGTTAATTAGCCTCAATTTGCATTTCAGTGGCCCACCAGGTGGTGTTGAATCTCCGAGGGAGGGGCCACTGCCTCTCCCCAGAGTTTTGGGAAGGAGTAAGATGGCCACTGTCTTTTGTGGCCACAACTCAGCAAATGCTCTGAGTGCCCTCCAAATCCCACGTGTCCCCACACAGATCCTGTCCAGTCCGCTCTCCCTCTGCCACTGCCCAAGGTCAGTGGCTGTGGCTATTTCAGTGTCTGTCTTGGTTCTGTGGTATGGAGCCGCTTGGGAGTATAACCCCCAGGGCACTGCTCACAGCTAAGACCGCTGCTGTCCATGGGCTCCCAGCCCCCCTATCGCACCTCTGCAGTCCTACCAGGATCGAGTCAGTGTCCCTGGTTATATGGTCCTCGAAAGCTGCTTTTCAGTTGCTTTTTTCCAACAATTTGTCTTTATTTTAGTTGTAATTCCAGTTTGGTCCTGGGAGACGGTCTGTGTAGCTTCCATTCACTCTGCCGCCATTTTGGAATCTCTATAATTTATAAGGTGACTAATTAATATTGTTCTCAAATCTATTTGAATAAGTAACTGAATCAGCGTGGGTTTTTTTTTTGGTTTTACTATTTATTTTAGTGAACTCATGCTCCTGCAAAAGAGTCCTTTAGTGAACCCCCACCCCTAAAAAAGTCCTTGACTTGCCCTTTTTCTATATGACAAAGATTAGGATTTAGAGACACCTTGGTCCTGAAGTAGAAAATTCTTTTCCTATATTAGGAATTCTTTTTACTTTAAAAGTATCTGCAGAGCTGTATCTAGTCTGACTATTTAGTGCCTCAGTGCTTTTAGCTTTCCGTTTGTTTCTTTTGTTCTGTGCCCTCCATCCTTCTGCCTCTTGCTGCTGTTCTCTAGAATCACCATCATAGTGACAAACTGAGGCTCAGTGGCTTGTACTCCATTCTTATTTGAGGCCCAATGGCATATGCTATATTTTCTAAGACATAAAATATTGTGATAATTATAAGAAAATAGTTCCATGATAAAAGGACAACTTGCATAAAACTGTTTAGAATTATTCCTATTGCAGCCCAGTACAGGCAGAGCATTAAGCAGTAACGGTCTAAGTATTCACACAGCAAGGCAGTCGTTGCTTCCTGGGTAGGAACTCCACTTTTCAGGAAGCATACATCTTGTTCTGTGAGAACCTAAGAGAACCTCGATTTCTAGAGTCAGGAGAGAAGTCAAAGGTCTGTCACTTCAGTTCCTATATGCTGAGTCTCAATCTGTCTTCCTTCTCCTTTGTGTTTTCTACATCCCTCTACCTATGATAGTTTGGGGAAGTCTATGCTATAACATAGTTAACAAAAATATGACCAAAATAAAAATCCTCAGGTTATATAACTATGTCATTTCCAACTTCTTTTATTTTTTTTAGTTTCTTTTTGTACATTTTTTATTTCTTTCTTTGGGATTTAAATGAAAGGTAGAGTTATGTGAATCTTTCAGTAAATATTATTACAAAGAAACATTGATTCTTGAAATTTTTTTAGAGTAACCATATAAGGGTTCTGTGCTTACAGTTCCAACATGGGTTGTTTTGTATGTTTTTTCCCACACCACCAAGCAATTCTCTGATATCAGCTGGTTGTCCTACAATTTAAATCAATTTTGACACTATTTACCCAGAGATAGATAGCATCAGATTCCACAGGTTAAGGACTCAGCCCCACAAGACTGTCCTCTACCTTAGGTGCCAGTTGCAAGTCCAGGATGTCTCCTGTCCCTGTGATTGACTGGCTATAAATTACAGGTTCCCACACTGCCTCCTTTGGTTCAGTTAATTTGCTAGAACAGTTCTGGGACTCAGGAAACCAATTTTATCACTAGATTACTGCTTTATTACAAAGGTTATAAATCAGGAATACCATATGGAAGAGGTGTATAGGGCAAGGTATGGGGAAAGGGTGCAGAGCTTCCATGCTCTCTCTGAGGGTACCACCACATGTTCACCAATCCAGAAGCTCTCAGAATCCCGTCGTTTGGGTTTTTGTGGAGGTTTCATTACATAGATTTGATCGATCAAATCACTGACCATTGGTGATTGAACCAATCTCTAACCCTTTCTTCCTTCATCTAGAGGCCAGAGAGGTGAGACTGAAAGTTCCAAACCCTCTAATCCTCGGGTGGGTTCTTCTAGTGATCAGCTCTCATCCTTAGGTACTTTCCAGAAGTCATTAATATAAACACAGTTATGGTGGAAAGGGACTTTTAATGAATATCAAGACACTCATTTTACCTTTATGGCTCTGAAGTGATTTTAGGAACTGAGGACCAGACCAGATATTAGAACACAACATTGTCCTATTGCTTTTCTCTCAGGAAACTCCAAGAGTTTGGGGAGCTAAAAGCCAGGAACTGTGGACAAAGACCAAATATATATGAGGAATGTGTTTTGGTCATCTGAATGACTATTACAGTCATATATAAGGCATTATGTTAGATACTTAATGAGCAAGATCAGATATGTACTGGCATATTGGAGCTGACGGTGAAAGAGAGGGAGACAAATCAGTTTAAATAATCAGAAAAAATAATAAACTTATTATTGATAGCATTTAACCCTTTTCTTGTTGAGACTGTTCATTTGGTATGTAGAATATCGTACACTTGGTTTTCTTACCTCCCTGTTCACTTCTTGGTTTCCATTGCTGAGTCCTTTTCTTCTTAACATCTAAATGGTGGAGTGCCGTAGGCTTTAATCGTTAGGCCTCTTTGCTACCTACTTTCCTTAGATTATATCATTCAGTATTTATGGCTTTAAATACTACCTATTAATATCTATATGCTAATGACTACCAACGTTGTATCTATTCCTTATTCCTCCCTAAACTTCATAAAATTTTCAATATCCCAATCCTCAAACTCACTGCTTTTCATCTCAGTAAATGGTGCCATCATTTACCCAGTTGCTCAGGACAGAAATGTAAATTATTCCTTATTCTTTACTTTCCTAGCTTTCATGTAATCCATGAGCAAGTTCTGTTGGCTGTACAAACTTTATCCAAATCCTACTACCCTTTATCACCTCCACTGTTACTATGCTGGTTCAACTTCAATAACCTCCTAACTGATATCTGTTCCTAGCACCCTCATCCCCTCCCCCATTTATGGCATCTCTTCTCCATTTAATAGGCAGAGTAATTTATTTGTTTGTTTGTTTGTTTTTTTAATCCTCACCACAGGAAATTTTTCCATTGATTTTTATTTTATTTTATTATTATTCATTTTTGGTAGGTGCTCCTAGTGGGAACCGAACCCGGGACTCTGGTCCGCAGGCCGACACTGAGCCAAACTGGCCAGGGCTCCATTGATTTTTTGATAGAGTGGAAGGGAGGGAGGGAGAGAGAGACAAATCATTTGGTTGCCTCCTTCATGACCCCAACCACGGCCAGGGATTGAAATTGCAACCTAGGTACATGCTCTTGATTGGGAATCAAACCCACAACCCGTTGGTCTATGGACCGATGCTCTACCCACTGTGAAAAACTGTTCAGAGCACAGCGTAACCTTTTTAAAGCCTAAAACAAACCTTCACAAAAATCCTTCAATGAGCCCTGGATGGTTTTGCTCAGTGGTTAGAGCGTCGGCCCACGGACCAGAGTCCCAGGTTTGGTTCCCTCTAAGGGCACGTACCTTGGTTGCAGTTTGTCCCTGGCCCCGGTTGGGGTCGTGTGGCTGGCAACCACTCGATGTGTCTCTCGCACGTCTATGTTTCTCTTTCTCTCTTCCTCCCTCCCTCCCGCCCGCTCTATCTGAAGATAAATGCAAAAGTGTCCTCAGGTGAGGATAAAAAAAAAATTTTTCAGTGAAGAAGTGCTGATTCCAGGTCTGGGGTGGGAAAGGTACAAGATGAATCTCTGAGCATAGGATACTGACAGAGAGTAAAAGAAATGATGAGGAGACAATGAGGCCTTAATCATAAAATTGAAAATGGTGCATACTGTCAGAAACAGTAAAGGAAGGTCTTCGTAAGATGTTTCTCGAGATTACATCAGACTTTTGGAATTTAAAGGCAAAAATAACTAAAATTATATATTCTATAAATCAAATAGTAGGGCAGATTTATTTTTGATAATTGTGTACACACAGTTTAAGAATTTTTCAAACCCACACACAAAAAAAAAGAACTGGAGAAAAGCACAGTGAACTTCCGTATACCCCTTAATCTAGACATAGCAGCTATTAACACTGGTTACTTATTTAAGTTGAACCATATAGAAATGTTCCTTTTGACCAAAAAAAAAAAAGATCACGTAGATGGTTGAAACTGAATACACACATATACATACAGCACACGTTTGCTGTTGCTAAACCATCTGAAAGTAGGTTTTAGATATGACACTTCATTATGTATCTTCCAAAGACAAAGATATACTATTAGGTCACTACAAACCAGTACCTCAGCTGAGAAAAAATTAATATTAATTCAGTATTATCGTCCACATACAGTCCTTATTCAAATTCCCCTCTTTGTATCATCAGGTTTTTTGTGTTTTTTTTTTTTTTTTCCTTTTTTGATTTTCGAGAGAGAGGAAGTGAGAAGGAGAGAGAGAGAGAAACATAGATGAGAGAGAACATCAATTGGCTGCCTCCTGCATGTCCCCCACTGGGGATTGGGTTCACAACCCGGGCATGTGTCCTGACCAGGAATTGAACCGGCAACTTCTTGGTGCTTGGGTCGACACTCAGCCACTGAGTCACACCGGCCGGATGCATTATCAGGTTTTTATTTTTTTGGTACATGCCCCTAGCGGGAACCGAACCCGGGACTCTCTGGTCCGCAGGCTGACGCTCCAGCTGCTGAGCCAAACTGGCCAGGGAGCATTTTCAGGTTTTTAAAAACCATCTACAAAACTAATTTATGAGTCTGGGGTGCTTTCTCTTAAAGAATAAAGTGACTTTGTTTACTATTGGCTTACTCTAGTTTTTTTCTTTGTGTTTAGCTTCTTACATCCGTGTTCGACAACAGCATCAAAACCTTTGGAGTGTTTGAGAGTGACCCTTTTGACTGGGAGAAGACTGGAACTGATGGTTCCCTGACAACCACCACTACTTCTACCACCCCTCAGTTGCACACCCGCTTGACCCCTGCGGCAATTGGGTATGTCCTCAGAAGCCCATTTAGTAGTCTTTCCTGGATGTATTATATTAGCAGAAATGTTTTCACCCAGATTCCCTCAGATGACCAAATGCTAAGACATAGGTAAAAGCCTGTAGATTTTCTTGAATTGACATTGTTCTTGTATATGCCTCTGTTCAGATTTACTTTTCTTAGAAAATGTTTATGGATCATACTGTGAAATGGGAGCTTAGAGCTTGTGTGACTTGTTGGTGTCAGATTTACAGTGGGTTTTCTCATCTCATAATGAGAAGGAACACTTGTTGCATTTACTTGTAAAGAGTACATGGGACCCTGGACAGAATGAGCCACAATTATATCTAATTATACTGTGCTTAAGTTTAGTGGGAACAAAACATGTAGCTTGTTCCTCTTAAGAGAGGGATTTAATTTTCAAAGTGTATTAGGAACAGGTTATAGTATATTTCCATCTTCTTGGTTTTTTGTTTTTGTTTTCTCTACGTGCATAAATAGTTGCTTTTGCAGAGGTAGGGTGTCTTCTTTTCTGACCCATTTTTTACCTGCTCTGGTTTTTTTAAACTGTTTGGTTTTAATAAATAAAAAAGTAAATAGGAAAAAAATCCTCATACCATATGAGTTAATTGGGACATTTTATCACTAATCCATTGCTTTGATTTTATATTGAAAGATGAGATCTCTAGAACTTATTGATCAGAAAAGCTTACATGGACTCATATCTGAACATATTTTCTTGATTAGCTAGTCTAAGAATTCTTAAATGTGAGGCCCTGACTAGCTGCATCAGAATCACCACACATTTGTTTAAGATCTGTCTTTGTAAAGACTCACCCCAGACCAACTGAATCAGAATCTAGGGATGCAGCGCAAAAGTCCACATGTATCAGATGTTTCTCATGCTTATCTGAGTTTGGAACTCCCAGCCAGCCACCCTATTTTTTAAAATGTTTTTTTCTCTATCAAGTTTTGAGAGAGAGAAAGGGAAAGGGAGAGAGAGACAGAAACATCACTGAGAGAGAACATCGATTGGCCGCCTCCTGCATGCCCCCCACTGGGGATCGGGCCCACAAACCTGAGCATCTGCCTTGACTGGGAATCGAACCAGCAACCTCTTGGTGCATGGATTGATGCTCAACCACTGAGCCACACCGACCGGGCCACCCCATTTTATAAATGGGGAAATAATCCTAACACTGAGTGAATCATCCAACTTTAGATAAATGTTAGTCACAGAACTTGAGCTGTGTAGAAATTTATATTTTTGTTTTGTTGCCTTTGTCCTACTTCTCCTTTAATTGTTGTTAGAAATAGATAAGCCTCCAACTTGCAAAATTCAGGTGATAGGACTTCAAGATAGCTGAAGGCAATGAAGACAGTGTAAGTTCTCATCTCTCAATGTTTCCTCCTAAAATAAGACAGAATAACACAAAATAAAAAATAAAACTACACCAAAACCCTGTCCTTAGCGTAATTCGAAGACCAAGGATGCCCAAACTTCAAAATAACTGAGTAAAAAGAGAAAGAACAAAACACCAAGACCTTGTGTGGTATCTCTTATGGTCCTGCCTTACCCAGCCCTGCCACAAGGCTTTACAAAGTCAGATCAATGAAAACTGTGGGGAAGAGAAGAATTAGCAATGGGACTTAAGGTTGATCTAAAACCGACACCAGAAAAACTACACCCATCCCAAGAACAAAAATACTAAAAAATGTCCAAATAGACCAGATCATGAACTACGGGAATGTCCAAATATGCATGATTAAAAACACATTATCTTCCAGGGAAATAAAAAGACAAAATGAAGGGAGAAGTGCCCTTTAGCAGTTGAGTTGTGAAGGACCAACCATGTATTCATTTGAGTTCAATCAGGAGAGAGAAACTACATAGTAATTTGAACAAGGAAGGAATCATTACCTATAACATGGAATTGGAGTAACATGGGATTACTTCAAAAAATAGGGAGAACTGTAAAGAATACAGGAATAGCAAATATAAAGTGCAGCTCCTATTCCTAGGTCTGAGATTAAGCATCCAAACAAGCAACTCTCCCAGCCCGGACCCCAGGCTAAGGTACGCACTGACCTTGTTGAAGGTATGTCCATCCCTCGTTGGATGGGAGGGAGGTCCCTTTGATGCCACATTGGTAAAATTTGCTGAAAACCTGCCCTCTGTGGTACCAGAGAAAGCTATTTGTGTGTCTCACCAGACACACACTGCTACCAAACTTCTTGATAATGGGGATTGCTCAGGGAAGCTCTTGGTTGCTGCTGAAGATGCTGCAGTGCTGCAGGATCCTTGCCCTGGGGAAAGCCACACATGCTGGAGAAGCTTGCCAAAGCTGCATACTGGAACCCAAAACAAAGCACTTTCCTCCTGCGGTGTCTTTCCAGTGCTGTCTGCTGACAAAGCTCCAGTGCCAGTTGGCCAAGGGAAAATATCTAAAGGGCTCAGATCCACTTTCACACAGCAGGCAGAAAGGACGAATTTGAAAGGTAATAAATCAATAATTGCAGAGGAGCAAACGGAGAAAAACATTTAATTACATACAAGAATGGAGAACTATAAAATCAGAGTATACACATATCTCTCCTGACCACAAAAAACAAAGAATAATCTACTCAAGCGTTTGGACTTTGCTATACTGACAGAAGATGGCTCTAATTAAACTATGAATCTTGTAAAATACTCCAGTAACACAAAAAAGAGCAAGAAAAATATTTTTTTTTTATCCTCACCTGAGGACATTTTTGCATTTACCTTCAGATAGAGCAGGAGGGAGAGGGGGAGGAAGAGAGAGAGAGAAACATCAATGTGAGAGACACACCCCGACTGGCTGCCACCCACACAACCCCAACCGGGGCTGGGGACAAACTGCAACCAAAGTATGTGCCCTTAGTGGGAACCAAACCCAAGTCTCTCTGGTCCATGGGCCGATGCTCTAACCACTGAGAAAACTGGCCAGGGCAAGAAAAAGATTTTAAAATTCCATAAAACATTATAGTACACACTCACAAAAGAAAACTTAATGCATATTAACTAAGGAAATTTTCTCAGTAAAACAACCATTGGGGTGGGTGGTAATTATTGGTGAAGAAAAAGAAAAAAACAACCATGAAGAAAACTAAAAAAAAAAAAAAAAAAAGGAAAAGAAAACTGTAAGACAAAACCCAGTATATAAATGTCTGATCACTATGTTGTACACATGAAACTAATATAATTCTTTATGTCAACTGAAATTGAAAAATGAATTAAAATTTTTTTTTAAAGAAATAGACCACAAAGGGGGTGGGGGGAGGGAGAGGAAAAGGAAAGAAGAGAAGAAGAAATGAAATGAAAACTGATTGAAATCAGGGAAGAAATAGAGGAAAAGATATCTCAGAATTGAGTAAATTACAAAATGGACAAAGGAGAGTAGACCCAAATGAATATTTAATAAATAAAGGACATTGCATAAAATTGGGGAAAAAGCCTCAAGAGAAAAAAAAAATTAAAAAGGCTAGAGAAAAGGTAGTACAAATTGAAAGCAGACAGAGAAGGACTAGGATTCCTATTAGTTGACTGAGTGGTTAACTTGGTCTCATTTTCCCTGGCGGGAGTCCCTAGCATGGTATTTATAAGTTGAAGTTTCTTTGAAAAGGCAGACCGAGAATTGTACAGTACATATTAGTCCACAGCTTAAAGATTGTGTGGAATTTATTTATTTATTTATTTATTTTTAATCCTTACCCGAGGACATTTTTCCATTATTTGTTCAGGTGGAGTGGGAGGGAGAGAGAGGAACAGAGAGAGAGAGAGAGAGAGAGAGAAACATCGATGTGAAAGGGACACATCGAGTGGCCGCTACCCGCACGACTGACCAGAGCCGGGGACAAACTGCAACTGAGGTACGCGCCCTTAGCGGGAACTGAACCCGGGTCTCTCAGGACCGCAGGCCAACGCTTTAACCGCTGAGCCAAACCGGCCAGGGCGATTGTGTGGAATTTAAACTAGTTGAACTAAAGGGGGAAAAAAAGTATTGGGCCCACAAGCCTACCATTTATTAGCTGGCCCTTTAAGAAAAAAGTTTGCTGACCTCTGAATTCTCTGTTTGCAAGTGATCTGGAAGAATAACTGAAAAGCCCTAGAAAATCAATGTTAAAGAGAAAAAAAATGATAATGTATGTCCCACAACTCTGAATTTTGTAGTAGAAGGAAAAAGTATGTTCAGGAGAAGATAGGAGGACACTTAGATCGGGAGTCAGCAAACCTTTTCTATAAATGGCCAGATAAATATTTGTGGACTCTGCTGTCTGTCTTCATTATTGCTGCTATTGTATTACTAAAGTAGCCATAGACAACATGGAAATGAATGAGCATGACTGTGTGCCATTACACTCTATTAACAAAATATAGATGAGCAGGCCAGATTTGGTTCAAAGGCCCTAGTTTGCCAGCCCCTGACTTAGATTATGGGGAAGGGAATATGAAGAGGATGTCCATTCTGACTACTTTTCCAGTTCTCCCATATACCTCCTTACTTTATTCCCTAATCTTCTATAATTTATACCTCACCTGCAAATACAGATCATGTGCTAAAACTACACATACTTACTCATTCTTATTCCTTAACATAATTTCCCTGGAAAGAAATTATTTCTGTATCTCAAAGTCCAGATTTGGATCAGAGTTTTAGGAGAAGGAAGAAAATAAAGTAAGGAGTTAAAATGGGTGAAACGTGCAGAGAAGAACCTGAGTTATGTGGAAGGCAGCCTGTGTGGAGACGATGGAAGAGCACCTTGAAGTGTGTGGTATTGTACTGAAGCATAAGAGATACAAGGGAAACTAAGATAGAGTAAAAATAGAGGCAGTTTCATAGGTGGTGTGTCTCCTGAGGAATGGAGGAAGAAAATGCCCGGGAATTTAGGCATATGGAAAAACAGGATTTGGAAGAACACTGAGTGATTAAAATGTGGTGTAATGTGGGGCTAGTACACTGAGCTTCCTGAACTCAAATATTTATCCTTTTGCCAGTCCCCATTGAATTCTTTCAATAGACATTTGGAATACCATGTAACACATATATGTTAGTGTCCATTGTAATTCCTTATATCAATAAATTATATTGAACTTATACCTGAAAAATCTTTTAATAGCCAGTTTATATCTGAACTCTTCTTTAAATTAAATTTTATTTTTTTCATCATCACTTATTTCCCCTATACCCTCTTCCACCTCCACTCACCCCACCTCCTGAACTTTACTTTCATAATAAATACTTTCATTTGAACTACCTTAGTCCAAACTACCTTTTCAAAATGTTCTTAGTGTCAGAACTAGAGGTACTATTTTGCAAGGCTCTAAGTTGTTTTTTGTTTATTTCTTGGTCAGTGATTTTCTATAGTATTTATCTCTAACCTATTGACAGAGACCTCAGTAGGGACAGGTGGTAGTGAAGGGTCATCAGATCAGGTAGAAGAAGTCCCTGAAAATGATTGATCTTTGTTCTCACAGCATGGCATGTATGACACCTGGGCTAGGGTATAACCATAACCCTTAGAGTGGTTCACTGAGAAGATGCCTATTTTACTACTCATAATAATTGTGTCAGTATAATCTACTGAAGACTGACTTTCTACTTTTAAACATTTCAAGTCGCTTTTAAGAAAAGGTTTCATTGTATACTAAATATTGTGTTTAGTCAGCAGTATTTAAAAGAATTGAGTATAGTGTAGAGTTATGGAGCATTAGAGCTGGCAGAAGTATGAAGTGTATAATTGCACATTTTCTAGTTTCCCCTAGAACAGTGGTTCTCAACCTTCCTAATGTCGTGACCCTTTAATACAGTTCCTCATGTTGTATGTGGGCGTATCTGCATGTGGGCGGACCTGCCTGGAGACGGATAGAGGAGCCGTATCTCGGTTCCTAAGACCATCGGAAATATGTGTTTTCCCATGGTCTTAGGCGACCCCTGTGAAAGGGTCATTCGACCCTCAAAGGGGTTGTGACCCACAGGTTGAGAAGCGCTGCCCTAAAGGGCAAGAATTTCCTTTTTTCTCTTTATGTCCCCTAGGGTCTTGCATGAAGTAGGTACCTAGTAAAAAGTCTGTAAATAAAAAAAAAACAAATGCGCATTTCAATATTAAAATACATAACATAACTTATTGATCTGATGCCTGTTTATATCATTATGATACTTAATATTTTCCTGTTTATAGGTTTTGCTATTCTCTAGAAAGACCAGGTAAAAAATAGAAAATACAAAAATTGTCAAAAACTTCTTGGAAAATAGACCAAATGTTTCTAACTTTTAAAGGAATTGTTAAATTAGTGAGTTATTGTATTAGAATTTTCATTTTTAAATCAGATTGAAAATTCCATTAATCAAAATGTGGAAGTTTTATTTTGTAGAATTGTCACTACCTATTTCCAAGGTTTATGGTTTTGTTTTGTTTTACTATTTTAATGATATATAGACCTCATTATTTAACTCCAGAAACAAAATGTAAAATAGTCTCATAGTAATTTTTCAGTCTGATGTTCTTAAGCTCTACCTTTTCTTCACCCCTCATTTTTAGAATTGCCAATGCCACTCCTATCCCAGGGGACTTGCTCCGAGAAAATACAGATGAGGTATTTCCAGATGAACAGCTTAGTGATGGGGAGGATGGCATCCCAGTTGGTGTGTCACCAGATAAATTACCTGGATCTCTGGGACACACTCATCCCCAGGAGAAGGATGTCTGGGAAGAGATGGATGCAAACAGAAACAAGATAAAGCTTGGGGTTTGTAAGGTGCGTATTTCTTGCATAGGAAGTAGTATCTTTCTATGTCCTTATTATTTTTCTCCTGTTGCTGTAGTGAAGTATAATGATTCTCAATTTTAAATGAGAAGTAGAACATTGTATTGCTAGTTATTTCTATATTTGTAATTGCTAATTTGTATTTTGGCTAATTTTGCCCGAAATGTTGAAGTATGGACACTCGAACATTAATCTTCATATTGTATTTTGTGGAAAAGATAAAGGCATTTAAAAAAATAACTAGACATTGACACGAAAAGAAGAGACATCTATACAACAGAAGTTAATAGTCTTTCTAAATAATGTGACAAGACCCTGGGCTCCTTCTTTGGTGTAGACCGATGGAGCTATGAGTACCTGTTCTGAAAATGGTCTTAAATGGAGGTGAGAAATGAGTTTGAAGTGGGAAGCATCAAACAAACTGTTCAGGAGTTGACAAAGTGGATGTTGAACAAAGGACATGATTTTTTCTTCATTAAGATTGCAAACAGGTACACCTTTAAGTATGGGGAGAGATATACATTTCTGAATTGAATGATTAATTTTTAGTAACCTTGGGGCAGATTTTCCCCAAACTTCTCTCTGATCTTACTGTTCCTCGTCATTTCCATTTTCATAGAAGATCAGATGAAGAAAACTGGTATGTAGTGGCAAGGAATCAGTTAGTTTGGTGCTTCCTATGTTTTTATAAAGGTTTAGTTGCAAAGAAGATTAAGTTTATAGGTGTGTAAAGTGAGACTTCAGGCTCACACCTGTTAACATGATTGATAGAAAGTTGGCTATTAGTTATGCTTTATGAATGGAGAAAAAATACTCTGTGATCACTTCTGAGGAGCTGGGCCTATCTTTGGATAGTATATACTACATTGTTAAACTATATAATTAAAAATATTGCCCTGACCTGTTTGGCACAGCGGTTAGAGCATCAGCCTGCGGACCAGAGAGTCCTGGGTTTGGTTCCCGCTAAGGGCACGTACCTTGGTTGCAGTTTGTCCCCACCCCAGTTGGGGTCGTGTGGGTGGCAACCACTCAGTGTGTCTCTCTTGCATCGATGTTTCTCTCTCTCTCTTACCTCCTCTCTCCCTCCTGCTCTATCTGAAGATAAATGCAAAAATGTCCTCAGGTGAGGGGGGAAAAAAAAAGAATATTAGCAGTATATAATTTAGTCATGAGAGTCATTTGCAAAAGCTTCTCTGCACAGATGTGGTATGGTGCACTGTGGTGTGGCTATTAAGAAACACTCTTTGGACTAATAGTGATAGGAATAAGTGGTGACAAAGATGTCAGGAAGTCATTGCCAGACTTTTGGAATGCCAGTTTTGGCTGTCTTTATAGCACCAGGAGCAAATTGTTCTTACGGTTAAAAACCTCTAGTTTCCAGCCCATATGGGTGTTTTTGTATGTGAAAGAGTGAAGTGGCATTTGGCATAGATCTTAATTATTTAGTTTTCTTTCACTCATTATCATTTTTTTTTTTTATCCTTACCCGAGGACACCTTTTTTTTGATATTTTGTTCAGATAGAGTGGGAGGGAGAGAGAGAGAGAGAAATGACATGAAAGGGACACATCGAGTGGTCACCACCCACATGACCAACCAGGGCCATAGCAACCAAGGTACATGCCCTTAACGGGAACCGAATCCGGGTCTCCCTGGACCGCAGGCCAACACTCTAACTGCTGAGCCAAACCGGCCAGGGCTCATTTTTTTTTTTTTAAATAATCTTCACCTGAGAATATTTTTCCATTTATCTTCAGATAGAGGGGGGTGAGGGGAGAAACATTGATGTGAGAGAGACACATTGACTGGTTGCTTCCCGCACAACCCCGACCAGGGCCAGGGAGCCAACCCCAACTGAGGTATGTGCCCTTGATCGGAATCAGACCGGAGACTCTGGTCCGTGGGCCAATACTCTAACCACAGAGTCTAACTGGCCAGGGTCCAGTATCACTATTTAATCTCTGTTAGTGCTCTTCTAGTTTTTAATTACATCCTGTTTTTAAAACTGTTTTTATTTTTATTTATTTTATTCTTTTTTGTTTGTTTGTTTCTTAATCCTTACCCAAGGACATTTTTGCATTTATCTTCAGATAGAGCAAAAGGGAGAGAGGGGGGAAGAGAAAGAGACACATCGATGTGAGAGAGACACATCGAGTGGTTGCCACCCACATGACCCCAACTGGGGCTGAGGAAAAATTGCAACCGAGGTACGTGCCCTTAGCAGGAACTGTACCTGGAACTCTCTGATCCGCAGGCCAACGCTCCAACCGCTGAGCCAAACTGTCCAGAGCTATGTTTTTTTTTTTTCCTTTATTGATTTTAGAGAGAGAAAAACATCAATGAGCAAGAACATTGGTTAGCCGCCTCCTGCATGCCCCCCAATGGGGATCGGGCCCACAATCTGGGCATGTGCCCTGACTGGGAATCGAACTGGCGACCTCTTGGTACATGGGTCGATGCTCAACCATTGAGCCACACTGGCCGGACTATGTTTTTATTTTTAGAGAGAGAGGAAGGGAGAGAGAGATAGAGATAGAAACATTGATGTGAAAGAGAAACATCAATCAGCTGTCACCCGCACTCCCCCTCTGGGGATCAAGCCTGCAACCCTGGCATGTGCCCTGACTTGGAATCAAACCAGCATCCTCTTGGTGCATGGGTCGATGGTCAACCACAGAGCCACACCAGCTGGGCTAATTCCTTCCTTAAAAAAAAACTCTGATATGCCCTGGCCGGTTTTGCTCAGCGGTTAGAGCGTCGGCCTGCAGTCTGGAGAGACCTGGGTTCGGTTCCCACTAAGGGCACGTACCTCGGTTGCAGTTTGTCCCCGGCCTTGGTTGGGTCGTGTGGGTGGCGACCACTCGATGTGTCCCTTTCACGTCGATGTTTCTCTCTCTCTCTCTCCCTCTCACTCTATCTGAACAAAATATCAAGAAGATGTCCTCGGGTGAGGATAAAAAAAAACCCAAAAACTCAGATATTAAGTGTTGTTGTTCTTTCATACAAGTAATGTTTCTATGAATTTTTAAAAGATGTTCACCATTTTCTTTCATTTTGTGAAGTCCTGGCCTCATTTTTTTTTTCTTACTTTTTCCCTTTTTTAAAAATCTGGACTCATCTTTTTTTTTTTTAATCATCTATATGCCTTTATTAGGAAACACTGTCACTAAGAAAAAAATATAATAGAAGATACTTACATTGAAGGATATAATAGTTTATAATTTGGAAGAGTTAATATTATTAAAATATAATTTTTTCCCCTAATTGATCTATGGAGTCAGTACAATCCAAATACAACCTGGGAATTTTTTAATTCGCAAGCTAATTTAAAAATTTATATAAAAACGGATCAGTGTCTTTCACTTCAGTGTTTTTCTCTCCCTTCTTCTCTCTCTAACCAATTTTTTAAAATGTTTTAAAAAATTAATAGCCCAGCCAGTGTGGTTCAGTGGTTGAGGTTTACCCATGCATCAAGAGATCACCGGTTTGCCCTGGCCGGTTTGGCTCAGCGGTTGGAGCGTCAACCTGCGGTACAGAGAGACCCATGTTCGGTTCCCGCTAAGGGCACATACCTCAGTTGCAGTTTGTCCCCGGCCCTGGTTGGTTGTGTGGGTGGCAGCCACTCGATGTGTCCCTTCACATCAATGTTTCTCTCTCTGTCTCTTCCTCTCTCTCCCTCCCACTCTATCTGAACAAAAAATGGAAAAATGTCCTCGGGTGAGGATTAAAAAAAAAAAAAAAAGAGATCACTGGTTTGATTTCCTGTCAGGGCTCATGCCTAGATTGTGGGCCTGATCCCCAGGGGTGGCATATGGGAGGTGGTCAGTTGATGTTCTCTCTCATTGATGTTTTTATCTCTCTCTTTTGCCCTTCCTTTCTCTATATAAAAATAAAATAAAATAAAAATTTATATAAAAATGCAAATTACCAAGAGTAGCCAAAACAATGTTGGAAAATAAGAACAATGTTCAGTAACTTTCATTACCTAATTTGGACTCATCTTTCTTCCTGAAATATTTTCTTTGGAAGTTCCTTTAGTTGATGTGTTTGGGTAGAGAACTCTTTCAGTTTTTATTTTTATTATTATTATTTTTTTTTTTTGCAAAAAAAAAAAAAGTTGTTTTCTTTTTTCCCAATTTTATTTTTTTCCAATTTTTATTAATTTATTTTTGTTACAGATATTTACCCTTTTATCCCCCTAGACATCCTCCTCCCCATCCCGCGCCCCCCCCTCCTAGCATTGTTGTCTATACAAACATGCATATAAGTTCTTTCGTTCAATTCATCCATCCCCCCTGCCTCCCTACTCTGAGGTTTGTCAGTCTGAACCATACTCCTTTCTATGTCTCTGGGTCTGTTTTGTTCATCAGTCCACCATGTTCACTATATTCCACAAATAAGTGAGATCATGTGGTATTTGTCTTTCTCTGATTGGCTTATTTCGCTTAACACGATACTCTCGAGGTCCCTCCATGTGATCTCAAAGGATAAGAGATCTTTCTTTCTTACAGCTGCATAGTACTCCATTGTATATATGTACCACAGTTTTTTTATCCACCCATCTATTGATGGACACTTGGGCTGTTTCCAGATCTTAGTGATTGTAAATAGTGCTGCTATGAACATAGGGGTACATATATTCTTTCTGATTGGTATTTCAGGCTTCTTAGGATATATTCCTAGAAGTGGGATCACTGGTCAAATGGCAATTCAATTTTTAATTTTTTGAGGAAACACCATACTATTTTCCATAATGGCTGCACCAGTTTGCATTCCCACCAGCAGTGTACTAGAGTCCCCTTTTCGCCACACCCTTCTAGCACTTATTGTTTGATGATTTGTTGATAGCAGCCATTCTGGCAGGTGTGAGGTGATACCTCATTGCTGTTTTAATTTGCATCTCTCTGATGGTTAGTGACATTGAGCATTTCTTCATATGTCTCTTGGCCATTTGTATTCCCTGTTTGGAGAGGTGCCTATTTAGGTCCTCTG